ATTTTACGACCACCATTAATGTAATACTTGTATTGAACAAGAGGCATGGGAATTCATTCAGATTTGTGTTGTTTTGAGGTTACAGAGGTCGTGGTTTCCTGCTTCATAATATCCTCTTCTCCCACAGTCACAGTGTTTGGGAACATACTGAGCGCTGCAGTGAATGGCTGCTAATATTTTAAATCCTTATCTACTTGTTTTCTTACTTTGCGCTGTTTCCTAGACATTCTTATCCCTCATTGGATCTCAGCCTCTGGTGTTCAGATGCCACAGCCAATTTCTGTTATCTGCTGGACCTTTGATTCACTAGCAATTGACACAGATCCTTTCAGTGCCCTTATCGAGAAGCTTACACACGTTGAGTCTCTGTATTTTTGAAAACACACCCGGCCGTCGGCTCTCACTGAGCAAGTGTCTCCATGTGCACACCCTGTCCATCAAAACCTGTTCAGCAGTTTTAGTAACACTGTCTCTTTGGCCCCGCCTAGAAGGGTAATGTGAGTTTTAGGAGTTTGGAAAAACAAGTTAACCCACAATGCAGACACACACACACACACACACACACACACACACACACTTGCAGGCTTACACAGACAAGACTATAATTTTCCTCCATTGTTTTTCGTTTCGCTTTGGATTTAAGAGTAAACTCGTGTTTTGGAGCATCAATTTGTCCTTTCGGATTAAAACCAAGCCTTGGACTTAATCCCTTTTTCTTTCACATAAGCGAAGTTGGAGATCCATTTATCGGATAGTCTCTTAAGCTCCACAACAGGTGTAAGTGGTAATGCGTGTCTGTCTTGGTGTGGGTTAACTGGGAGTGGAGCTGATGTGGTCCTCCATGTTGTAAACAGACCCCTCTCATGGCTTAGTCTGTCTGGGTTATTTCTATGAACTTTGACTGTTGGGCCCCTGTAGACTGAAATATAACCAGACACTTATTCTCAGCAGGAACAGTGTGTTTTTCTTCCATATTAAGGATTTAGTGAAGTTTGAGTATATCTTACCACAAGAATGTTTTCACTTCTTCTTTACTTCCCTATTTACAGAACTGGACAAAGAGGCGATATCCTCAGTTTGACGTGTAATACCAACTCGGAAGCAGTTTTATAAATGTTGAAATTAGACATTGCATTGTTACATGAAGCTCTAGTAGTTCAGGTAAGGTACAGCAATAAAAGACAAGAGGACTCCGTACATTTTAGAACAGTATTCGAGTAAAAACTGGTTGTCTTTTAGAGTACAAAAACAGCAAGGCGGCAAACACAAGCAGTCCTGAAGTCTGGGATTGGTTAAACGCTTGATGTTTCGTATGTTTTGAATTAGCCACAGATGGTCCCAGCTGTGCCATATACTGTGGGCCCCATGTCACTCTGACAATAAATCTTGGAGCATCCCTTCTGTTCATACATTTCTGTTTTAGATTTGTACGTCTCCTTACCATTGGATACAAACAAATGCTAGCCTTAAGCAAACAAAGTGTGCATTGAGGGTCTTTCGTTGAAAAGTGCTCAAAGGGAAAACAAGGTTTACAATCACAGTATTCCAGATAATGGATAATATTTGCAACTCAAACGTCCTTCTTGGATTTACTTTTTTTTAGGCACATTTAACAACCTTCTGTGAAATAAAATGAGTGAAACAATTGTATTACAATGTTTTCCTTGGGACTAGGGCTGCTTAATTAATCATATTTTAATCGCAATTACGATTTTGGCTTGCAACGATTATGAAAACAACATAATCGAAATAAAACGATTTAAAAAAAAAAAATTTTTATTTGTATTGATTTTTCAGTTGAATTATGCTTAAAGTTCAGGGTAATCAACTGTTAAAAACATACTGTTCACATTTTTAATAAATGGATGTTTTCAAAGTAAATGGATAATCGTTTTTATTAATCGTGATATCAATTATTGACCAAAATAATCGAGATTATGATTTTTGCCATAATCGAGCAGCCCTACTTGGGACAGAGTGTCTGAATTTGTATCGTTACGTTATGCTTATTCTATAAATGATCCAGGTTTTCCATGGCTGTGCGAAGATATTTAAGAGGTTATTTAAGAACATATGGCATTTATGTGTATCAACTCATCAGTATCGTAAGGATTAAGTGCATGGCTGTAAACGTGGCCATTGTCTCCACAGGAGCTGCTCTTATAGGCTCGGGGAGGCGGGGGGCGGGGGTGTTTAATACGCAGAACCGAACGTTTTTAATTGGCCCTGCCTCTGAGACAAGCTGGAGGCTTTTCCCTCTGCAGTTAACGAATCTCCTCTTAAACACTGTCTGGGCGTCTGAAAGCACCATTGTAGAAGTAGACGGCCCTTCTAGGCTCCCTGATGAGAACCTGAGAGACGGCAAAGTGAATTTGTTCGGTCACAGTGGGCTGTGTGCCGGCCGAGATGGAGGAAGTGGAGAGCACAGCTGGGCCACGCTGCTGCTGACTGTGTGTGTTTATTTTCTCTTCAGTAACTTCTGAGTTTGTTTGACAGACTCGAAACTCTCTTGGGCCCCGGCACACAGAGGCTTATTAAGGACTCCTGTAAACACTTGGCATGCCTTTTAGATGAGAATAACAGTATTCAGATGCTGAAGCTATTAAAACCAATGTACAGACCAGAGAGTGGCTCATAGCTGTGGGTATTCACTACTGTAGTACTGGAGACCTAAAACGCAGTCATGTCTAACCAGAGCAGTTAACTGTCTCTCTTGCTGAATATCCCTTTGTTAGACTACAAAGGTTTTGGGTCTTTTTCTATGTAGAATTGTTTTTTAAGTCTTTTGTCAGCATTCTGACAAAACCAAACAAAGGCTGGAGAGCGTTAACGACACGAAACCGATATATTTTATTACCATATCCCGCAGCAGGTGGCCAGCAGACTGAGGGATCAGTGGATAGGGAGGGCTCAGTTTGCTCAATATAAAGAACCAGACAGAGTTGGTGTACAGAGCTCTTAGCTAAAGCCTTGGGATTTACAACAACCTTTCAAATGTAACTTTACTGAAAGTTCCATCTAAACTACCTTCCCAGTATCAAATGGCTGAAGGTAGAAGTACCTAAACGTTGCATCTTCATTTGTTAGTCGTAGTGAGCACATTAGTAAACAAAAACATGCATGTTCCGCCTAAAGATATATTCAACCACACCTTTTTTTTTTTAAATAAATGTTGCGCGCGCACACAAACACACACACACACACACACACACACAGACACACACAGCTCGGCCTCTACTAAACCGGACAGTATAATTGTGGCTTCCTGGTTGTCGCTCTGAAACGCTGGGACCCTGTTATGATGGTGATTTTATGAGAGCCTCTTATATTCAACAGGGAATTGATGCCAGAGTGGTAGATAATTGTTATTTTCTAAAGTTAGGAGAAACACTCCTCCGGCCTTTTGTCTGTCAAATAAACAACCAGGAGGACGCACAATACTCACATCCTATCGTTTCTTTTTAGACAAAGTGCTGAACCAAAAGCTCCAACATATTGTCTCTTTTGATTCCAACTGTTGTTTTGAATGGAGAAAACAGGGCCGTTGAAGATTGTTGACATTTTGTATGTTTTACTAATCCCTCAAGCTGAGAGAAATGCTTACTTTATTAACACTTCTATCCCCACTTCATTCATGTTTAGAAACACTTTGTATCACACTGAAGTGTTTCTGTCCTCTGTACACTGTAACACATCTCACACTGTAACACATCTCACACTGTAACACATCTCACACTGTAACACACTGTAACACATCTCCACTGTAACACACTGTAACACATCTCACACTGTAACACATCTCACACTGTAACACATGTAACACATCTCACACTGTAACACATCTCACACTGTAACACATCTCACACTGTAACACATCTCACACTGTAACATGTAACACATCTCACACTGCAACACATCTCACACTGTAACACATCTCACACTGTAACACATCTCACACTGTAACACACTGTAACACATCTCACACTAACACATCTCACACTGTAACACATCTCACACTGTAACACACTGTAAAACATCTCACACTGTAACACATCTCACACTGTAACACATCTCACACTGCAACACACTGCAACACATCTCACACTGTAACACATCTCACACTGCAACACATCTCACACTGCAACACATCTCACACTGCAACACATCTCACACTGTAACACATCTCACACTGTAACACACTGTAACACACTGCAACACATCTCACACTGTAACACATCTCACACTGCAACACATCTCACACTGTAACACATCTCACACTGTAACACATCTCACACTGTAACACTGTAACACATCTCACACTGTAACACATATCACACTGTAACATGTAACACATCTCACACTGCAACACATCTCACACTGTAACACATCTAACACTGTAACACATCTGCACACTAGTAACACACTCTACACACTCGTAACACACTGTAACACATCTCACACTGTAACACATCTCACACTGTAACACACTGTAACACATCTCACACTGTAACACATCTCACACTGTAACACATCTCACACTGCAACACATCTCACACTGTAACACATCTCACACTGTAACATGTAACACATCTCACACTGTAACACATCTCACACTGTAACATGTAACACATCTCACACTGTAACACATCTCACACTGTAACACATCTCACACTGTAACACACTGTAACACATCTCACACTGTAACACATCTCACACTGTAACACACTGTAACACATCTCACACTGCAACACATCTCACACTGTAACACATCTCACACTGTAACACATCTCACACTGCAACACATCTCACACTGTAACACATCTCACACTGTAACACACTGTAACACATCTCACACTGTAACACATCTCACACTGTAACATGTAACACATCTCACACTGTAACACATCTCACACTGTAACACATCTCACACTGTAACACATCTCACACTGTAACACACTGTAACACATCTCACACTGCGGCACTGAGTCCTCACCTCCTGCATGGCACTTGGTGCAGCGTTTGACACAGTGGACCACGCCATCATGCTAGATAGACTCAGGGAGTGGGTAGGCATCTCAGGGTCTGCCCTCCAGTGGTTTGCCTCGTGCCTCAGTGGGAGAAGTTTCTCCGTGGCGGTGGGCCCGTTCTCATCACATAGCACTCCCCTATCTATTCTGTTTTAGCCCCCCTTCTTTTGGCCCTGTAAATGCTCCCTTTGTGCCGCTTAATTAGCCAATTTGAGGGTGTCTCGTATCACTGTTATGCAGATGATATCCAGATATATTTCTCTTTCAAACCCGTCAAAATGGAAAATGTAAACGCCCTCATCACATGTCTGTCTGCAATTGAGGAGTGGATGTCAGCTCAATGCTTCGAAAACGGAAGTCTTGATCTTAGCGGCTGATAGCATCGCCTCTAAGGTAGCAAGCCACCTGGGTTTATTCAATGGTAACATAAGGGCAAACATAAAAAACCTTGGTGTAACTTTCGATGAGTCTATGCTACTAGACAAACACATCAAACTCCTGACCCGTACCTGTTTTTTCCATCTCAGAAACATTGCCAAGCTCAGGGGGGTTCTCTCAAACGCAGGAATTGAGATGGCTATTCATGCCTTTATTTCATCCCGGCTTGATTACTGTAATGCTCTGTTCTCCTGCCTCAACAAAACTTCAATAAACCGGTTACAACAGGTCCAAAATGCAGCAGCCAGATTACTCACTCATTCCAAAAAAACATGCCACATCACTCCGATCCTTTCTGCCCTGCTGGCTCCCTGTCAGAACCCAATTCAAGGTATTGGTTTTCACATATAGAGCTGTCCATGGCCAAGCCCAAGCCTACATTAATGACCTGATCCACCCTCACATCACAACCCGGGCCCTGAGGTCCTCTGAGCAAGGCCTCCTAAGGGTGCCCCGAACCAGGCTAAAGACCAACCATTTTATATTTGTACTGTGAATTGTGTACTGTACTTTGTACATCCGTGTTGAGAAGGGTGCTATATAAATAAAGTTTTACTTACTTTTACTTACTTAACCCTACTGTATGAAGATTTACCATGCATTATGTTATTTTTATTTAAATTGGTGTAACATCCGTCAGAAACCATGTTGGTATATAATTATAACATGAGTCACAAGTGTAAAAAGTAATGTTCTTACCTTACTGTCTGCTAGAGAGGAGGAAGACTTTGAGTACGCCCGTTTAATCCAGGAGGAGATCCAGCGCTGTTCTGAGCAGGCCCGGAGGAGAGAGCATGAGGATGAGGTGAGAAAAAGACTGTTGGGAAATGTATTATTATGTCTGCGTCTAGTTAACATTTCTCTAATTAGTACATTACAGATCTAGCCATTTTTTTTTCTGACTGCTAAAACAACAAATGCAAAATACTGCAAATTTAAAATATCGATTTGATCCTCTTTTGCAGTGAAAACAATCAGTAAGTAGTTATGGATGAAAAGGCAAGCAAGATTGAGCAAATACTGAGAAAGTCATGGGCATTTGAACTTGTCCGAGCATGCACTCAGTTCACCTGATGCTTGAAAGCTGATGTGAGGGAAACTCACAATAGAAAGGACCCTCACTTCAGTCAATTATATGATATTAATTATGGAAATTAGAATCTTTATTTTCACCATAACTATAAAGGGAATGTTGTGGAACATAGAAGTAGTCATGCCCCTTGAATGACTGATTAAGGTTGAAAATGGTTGAGGTAACCTTGGAACCGAAAGTTGTTCCTGATAATACAAAGACATAATATGAAAGCAAAAGTGTCATCAAAACATTTCAACAGATTTGTTACTGAAAGAGGAACAAATCCTTTCCTGTGGGTGTCAGGTTACCGTCAGCAACCGGAGCACAGCGAGACACTTTCCTTTATGGACAAGTTGGCCCAATGCAGTGATAAAACAGAACGTTAGGGAGAAGAGTATTTCGTAAAGGGATATTCCACCTAAAAGGCTTCTTTGAGTATCCACCACTCACCAACTTAGGGCTTAAAGTTGCTTTCCTGTCAGTTACAATAGATTTCTGATGTAAGAAGTAAGTATCTGGTTAGAGTGTTAATGGAAAATGCAAAAGGTTTATCAGACCCAGTAAATGTTGCATTCTGTAGGACGTGGTGCAGAAAATAAAGCTGCTTTTGAAAGTAGATGAATGCTTCCATGCAACTTAAACTAAAGAGCTCTGTGCACAAACTTAAAACATCACCAGCGCTATACGTAAACTGCAGCTCATTCAGCACAGGGACTCATAGACTTTTATGGCTACCAGGACACACTTGTATATCATTTAATTATCTCCTTGTTACCAGCAGGTTAGGGAGTATGATATGGTTCACTCTGCTCTCTCTTAGGACTGACTGAATCCATAATAAATGGCTCTTGCTGCAGAGTGCTGCCCGGCGCCTCTGATGTATGAGCAAAGTCAGCTGTTAAACAGAGAGAGACACAACCTGTCAGATACCCATCTCCAGCTATTGCTCTGGTGGTGAATTTCAGTCGTTGCCCATCAACCTCTTCATACAGAGCACACTCATGTGCTTATTAAGCCTCACAGGATGAGCACACTTGACATGTGTATAACCTTAACTGTGCAGTTTGAGTATGAGGCAGGTTAAGTAAACACATTATCTATGCGCTGTTTTTAATCAAGAAAGTGACTTGGGCTTTTTTGCTTATCCTTTCCATTAAACAGATCGACTATGCTACTTAATTTCTCCTTTAAATGTTATACACATTTTAAGTCTGATTCAAAGGATAGTTTTTCACTGCTAGTGGTGTCACTTCGATAGATTCTTCTGTCCACCAGCTTTAAACCGGAATGAAAATCTACAAAAAATGTGGCACAGACAATAATTTCCCCTCTTATTAAATCTTATTAACTTTAGTAATCCCATCATTTTCCATCTAGTGCCATCATCAGGTCAAAAACGGAATTTGTCTGAGACTTCGGTTTATGACCTAATACATGTAAAATATTCTCATCCACCACAGTTGTTATTTGTTCTCAATACTAATGAGCAAATAGTATTGGGTTAACATGAGATCCTGACCATACCTGCTGAACATCAGCATGTTAATATTGACATGTTGGCATGCTGATATTAAAATGTAGCCAAAAAGAAACAGCCTCACAGAGCTCTTGATTTTAGTCGTTAACAATATGGTTACATTTTAAAAACAAGATCTACATTTTGCAGTGATGATAGCCTTTTGTTTTTCATGTACCCTAGTTCTAAATTGAGGTACCCCACTAGGTCTGTCTAAATCTTTGTAAATACAGAAGCAGTTGTTCTTGAAGTTGCAACCCCAGCACGACTGGGCAACCAGATGGTTCCCATCAATCACCTCTCTGTTGTTGTTCCAATGCCCAGACCCTCAAAACCATCTTACGGTCTGTGCATGTTTACACCCCCATGTGCATTTCTCAACATCAGATTTGGGCTGTGTAAGAAAAAGGGCATTGTTGGGGAAAAAACCAACTGTGCCATGAAGCTCCCCAGCTGGCCCGGTGGAGTGGTCTGCGTCACGAGGCCGCTCCAGCATAATATTTTCCTTTAGCCTGCAGTTTCCTTTTTAGAGCAGGCTGCCTTGGACGGGCTTATAAAAGCTCCTTGTTTAGAGGCTGTGAGGTCAGAGGCCGTGGGGTTCATTCATCATTATTGAAGGGGTTTGGCTTTGAACACTCTGGGTAAGTTGGAACTAACATGAAGAACACTACACTGGGAATAAAGGGCACTTTCACCCACTGGGTTAAAAGTCATGCTAGGTTATCCAACAAATGGCACGAGACTACATCTATTCCTGTGTGCATGTTATAATTTCTTTTTAAGACTATTGATGTAAGGATTAAATGATGAACTATGAACTCTCCCGTTAGCCTTCCTTAATGAGCGGCTGATCAGAGCTGTTGATTAAATATTTGCCTCCCTGTAGATTGTGTCTTTAATTAATGAACAGAATGCACCAGACTGTGCACTTTTTTAAATGCCAGATCCCCGCGGGCCCCCACGCCTCACCTGCCATGGCAAGCTGCTTATTGTCTGCTGATGCTGGCAAAGTGGTGGAAACGCAAGCCCGGATTGTAAAGCAAAAGGAGCTGTGTTGGCTTTTAGTTATGATTGATGTTGCAAATGCGGCCTACAGAGAGGTTTTATAGAATTCACTAGTAGAATTAGCTGATTTGTGAAGAACATTATTAGCCTTTTAAATGGAAAGTAACAGAGACATGGTGGGTGGTTCTCCTTCAGAGAGCAGTCAAGTACATCAGCTTTGGTCAGAGTGAGCATTCCCCAGTGACAAGCTGTTACTTCAGGTGTAACAGTCCTGTTGTTACCCTGCTTCTGTTTGAGTTTTTCCACTCCAGAGTTCATGCTAAAAGAGATTAACAGTGTGTTTGTCTCATGTTGTCTACTAGTCTCCATAGAGTCAGCTACAGCTCTGCCTGAAGTAATAGGTGTGGCTACTCAGAGCTCAGATGTCAGATCACCTCAGAAGTTGCACAATGTCAACCAACATGCATTTGGTGAGCGGCTCTGTAGACATGCCGGATGTAGATTAATTACATTCCTGCTTGATGTAAACTCAGTAAATCCAATCACCTCTGAACGGGGTAAAGAATTTGGCTCATGTTTTCTTTGTGTTGTGACTTGAAAGCTTATAATATATACATGTATATCAAATCAAATAGAACCTCAAGCTCTTTAGGGCAGAACATGGTGATGTTAAACAGACAAGCAGCATCTAAAGCAAGATACTTTGTTGTGCATTGTGGAAATAAGAGAGGCATATATTAGATTACATTCAAAGTGTCCTATAGATTTTGTAATATGATTTATCTTTAAGTAAGTTGTGGAAACCGACGCCACCTTGCTGTCTTCTTACACTTTCTATGTTATGCTGCCATCTGCTGGTTGGAAACAGCATAGATACAAGTATTTCTTTATTTGCCGTCCAGCGGTAAATCCTCTCTGTGAGTGAAGCTTGTTGACATTTTGTAATGCTATTATCTAGATCAGTGGTTCTCAACCTGTGGTACGCGTACCACTGGTGGTACGCCAGCTCCCGCTAGTGGTACGTGGAGGAATCTGACATATCAAAAAAAAAAAAGATTTTTTATTTTGTGAGCTAGAATTTGAAAATACACAACCGGAAAAAATATGCCACTTCCTTACAGAGCCTTCCACAGATGACATTTTTTTAAGGATTTTTTGTCAAAGCACTTCAGATATTCATTGCTATTCGGATGTTAAGAGCATTCCATGGAATATAACAAAAGTGTATCTCGAGCCGGTTTCTCAAACGTACCTACCCCACCTTTAACCTTTACACATAACACAGACATATAAAATACAGGAAACACAACTAAGTAAACAAAAAGACGAAAAGCAGTCACTACATTGTGCACATTTGGGACATTAAGGTACACTATTATTACTGCAAGAGCAGCTGATGGTAAGGACCTCAGACAACTTCAATTTAAAACAGGCTATAGGGACAAGTGCCATCAGTTTGAGGCTTGATTGAATAACATTAATTACAAAATAAATCATACTATCAAAATACTACAACGAATGAAAATAAGCTTGAGATAATTGAAACTGTGGTTTAAATTAGTTCTAATAGGCTATTGCTTTTTAGGATTTAGAAACGAAAACATTTTATTTTATTCTGCGTGCTAATTAGACCTTACTACCGCTACGTTGCGCAAGCTAAAGAAAGAAGAAGGCTGAATGAGTTAAAAACGTGGGCCCTTCAAAAAAAAAAAAACCGGAGGTATTCGGAGAGAAGTACAGAGGAGAATATACCAGCGAAGGAACAAGTGAATGAGGAGGAGGACAGTCATCAACCGACACAGCGCAGGCCGCATGCACGGCAAAAGGATATGCACAGCGCTGTGATGGAGGAGAGAAGGACTCAGGAGAAGGGCATTGGCTCAAATAAGAGAGAAGGCTGTTGACGAGGTCCCTAT